GTAGTAACAGTGCTAGTAGTAACCGTAGGCACAGTAGCTGTAGTAGTATTAATAGTGCCAGCAGTAGTAATAGCAGTAATAACACAGCAGCAGTACTAGTAGCAGCAGTAGGACTGCTAGTTGTAACCACAGCAGCAGCAGCAGTAGTGTGGAAGCAAAAAATTGAACCCAGGTCTGGACTCTGCTCCAAGAACCGTGCCCCACCCCACTGGCACCCAGCGCAGTGTGAGGGCTGTGTGCTCTCATCTACAGACTCACAGAAGTGGAAAGGACCCCCCTTCGGAATCCATGGGGCAGCCTTCCATCTCCCCTGGCATGTCTCCTCCAGGACACCCTCTGTGAATGTCTCGCCTCCCAGGCACCAGGGCAACCTCTGGGCTCCCCAAACCTCTGGGCTTCCCTTTCTTGCACCTCCCACGTGGGAGGCTACGTGGACACAGCCTGTTTCCCACTCTGCTCAAGGTCCTCTAAGGACCATCTGCTCAGTAGTATCTCTGTAGGCCCAGCATGGACCACAGCACCTGGCACATTGAGCTCAATAAATTAAAGGATTGACTAGGTGGCCAACTTCCAATTACTTTCCAGAGATGAAAAATAAATAAGTGCACTGATTAGAAAGTGATGTGTCCTTGATTGACAAGAACTAATGACTTTGGAATGAAAATACATCTCCAAATCTCTAAGAGAGGGCGCAGGTCACCTCTGGACCAAAGGGGTGGTTTTCCGCTTCTGCGACCATGAGCAATGTCCTGGAGCCAGCTCATTGACATTCAGAAAGGGGGAGGCTGCTTCTGTACAAGGCATTGTGCCAGGGCCACTTCTGGGGACGCTTTCCTTTTGGGTCCTCCCTTGTCACTTCCTTTAATTATTAAAACACCTTGCAGACTTAGAGGTCAAAGAAACGAAGCTATAATTCATCACTGTCTCCGATCCCCAAAGAATGTTCAAAGCACAGGTGGCAAGAAACTGGCAGAATTTGGGGTCACGCTCAACTTCAATTACGTTACACAGATCAGCTGATGGGTCGGGGATTTCCAAGCTCCTGGAGGACAGGTGATGGCCCCCTTGAACTTGAGCTCCAGACTGCAAAAATAATCGCTACCATTTACTGAGTGCCTACCACACGGCAGGGTCCGTATAGATGATTTCTTGAACCCTCCAAATCCTTATGAGCTATGTTGTGTGAGACAAGGTCATCAGACAAGGCCTGTACATTCTTTCTTCTTGCCATTGGTCTCTGCTGACCTCCTGTGTGCCGGTGTCAGCCACGCTCTGAGGTCAACCTGGGCTTTGGCAAGTTACAGAGGCCCATGTGTCTCAGTCCCCACAAATGTAAAGGCTCATAATGATAACAGCACTTGCTGCATAAGCAATATAATTCAAATATTGTGTGGGTGTGTGTATGTATGTGTGTAAGTGTGCTGAGCATCTGAAACTGACCACCGCCAGGAAGCATCTGGAGACATGGGGCAATCGAAGGCTGCCTGCCTCCCTCCTGACCCTCCCCCCCACACACTCTTACCCTGACCCTACCCCACACTCTTATCCTCCCCCTCCCCCACACTCTTACCCTGACCCTCCCCCACATTCTTACCCTGACCCTCCCTCACACTCTTACCCTAACCTCCCCCACACTCTTACCCTAACCTCCCCCACACTCTTACCCTAACCTTCCCCCACACTCTCATCCTGACCCCCTCCATCCGCCCCAGCTGCTGCTTCCAGCACCGAAGGTGCTATGAGGAGGCTGCTGAGATGGACTGTCTCCAAGACTCCACAAAGATTATCACAGATGTCAACTGCTCCAGCAAGAAGATCACGTGTGGTGAGCATCTCCAGGTGTCCCCGGGGCAGCGGGGGGCTCAGAGGCCCCAGGCTGGACCAGGCCAAGGGCTCCCAGGGTTCATGTTCATCGTTATCACCATTGGCATCATTGGCATCTATACTTAGAGCCCCATGAGGGCCAGTTCTACGGCATCTATACCTCACACAGTAGATGCACAATAAATGCTTTTTGAGGTGACACAATAGTTAATCAGCAGATTATCTAATTTATAGTTTTTATATGTGTAGCAACCCTGGGAACTTGGGAAGGGGAAGTAATTTGCTATTTGTGTATCATGAGACATTGGGGCAATTATTACCTCCTCTGAACCTCAAAATGGGGAGAAAATCTGCCTCAGAGAGTTGTTATGAAAATTAAATAATGCTCACAGGACAATTAACCTGGAGACTGGTGTACGCTAAGAACACAGTGGAGGGAGAAGCCATACTGGATGGAGGCTGTGGTGTTCATTGTAAGAATCAGCTGTCCACCTTGCGTGCTGTGCGACTCCAGGAATTTTATTTCATGTCTCTGGGCAGAAGGAGCAGACTAGGCAAAGGCATAGAGAGAAGAAGAGCAGGCACGTTGGCGGTGCCACCTTGGAGCCGCCCTTTATAAGTGCCTACTGTGTGCCGTATGCTTTATACACAGCAACTCAGATCTTTAAAGAAACTGTCAGATGGAGGTCATTATTCCCACTTCTCAGACAAGGAGAGGAAAGCTCAGAGAAATTAAATGACTTGTTCAGAGTTACGTAGCCACTAAGTGGCAGAGCCAGGGTTTGACTCCAGGTGAGACCGACTCCACAGTCCAGGTGACATGGATCAGCTGGAATAAGGAGCTTCCAGAAAGCGGCGAGCAGAGGCATGGGAGTGAACCACCAGGCGAGGCACACGGTGAACACTGAAAGCACTACTCATTCATTCACTCACCCATTCACTCATTCAACAGATATGACCGAGCACCTACACCAAGTCCAAGACAAGTGTCCAGGTATTAGGGACATCCTGACATTCTGGAATTTTGTCATGGTTGTCAGACTCTGAAAATACCAAAAACAAATGATACGGCCTATTAGATAGTCAAAAGAGCTGTGGAGGACAATAAATCAGAGAGAGGGACAGGGAGGCTGGGGTAGGGGCACCTATTTAAATAGAAAGGTCAAGAGAAGCCTCCCAGGGAAGGTGACAGTTGAGCAAAGACAGAGAAGAGGCATATCCGGGAGAAGACCCGAGCAGGTGGACGAAACAGCAAGTGTGGACCCGAGGCTCCAGGTGCCTGGGGTGTGAGAAACAGGAGGCCGGTGAGGCCGGAGGGGGTGGTGAGGGAGAGGATGAGGTCTGAGGAGCGGGACCCGCGGCGTTTACTTTGAGTTGGGAGGCTCTGAACACAGAAAGCACGTGGTGTGATGGGGTGGGACCTGAGTTTTCAGAGAGCTGTTCTGGCTCCTGTGAGAACAGACTGATCAGCAGGGGCGGAGGCAGGGAGAGTAGTTAGGAGCCACTGATGTAACCCATGCCACAGGTGATGGGGTGGCCCAGGAGAGTGAAGCGGAGATGGGGACACCTGGGCAGACCCTAAATAGTTTCATTGAAAGCAGAGCCCATAAAATCGTGCTGATGTGACAGTAAAGGAGGATGCATGGGCCCAGACTGGACCCACACAGCTGAACAGATGGAACAAGAGATGAGGTCACTTGTAAGAGGCGTGGGGCTTGGCGAGGCAAGTCAGGAGCTCAGCTTTGGCATTTGCGTTACCTCTTGGGATTCCCAGTGAGCTCTTCCAGCCAGCTCTGCCCTTGCTGTGTGCACAGAGTCCAGGGACCCTTGTGAGCACCTGCTATGCACCTGCGACAAGGCTGCCATAGAGTGCCTGGCCCAGTCCACCATCAACTCCTCCCTGAACCTGCTGGACACCTCCTTCTGCCTGGCTCCGCCTCCGGGTAGGAGGAACCTGGCCCTGCATCCTTGGTGGGCTGATGGTTGGGGCGAGAGCTAGTGTGGGACCCTGGTGTGGGTGCCTGTATCTTCAGATGCCAAGTCCAGCACCTTCTCTCATTCCACACACTTACTGCTCTACATGGGTTTTCTTTGCAGAGACAACCAGCAGGGAGGAGCTGACGGCCCTTCTGCCCAAAGGTAGGCCCCCTAGGGAAGCTGCTCTTACTCGGACCTGAGGGGCCAGACTACGATGGGAGCTGGGGGACACACATGCAACTGATGCCTGTTATTCCCTGTTCACCAAAGTTCCAATGACCTCTCGGGCCCAACGCCATGGCTACGTGGGGGTGGGAAGTTCAAGGTGTACCTCCGCAGAGCATCCCGTCTCCTGAGCTGGGTCTCTCTCAGAAGTAATCTTGCAGTGTTTGGTAAAGAGGGAGCTGGTGTGTGTGTGTGTGTGTGTGTGTGTGTGTGTGTGTGTGTGTGTGTGTGGTGGATTTCCGAGTGTATGCAGGTGTGATATAGTGTGTGCATGAGGGAGTGCGTGTGGGGTGTGCATGTGGGTGTGTGTGTATGCATGTGCATGGGTGTGTGCATGTGCATGGGGGAATGAGTGTGGTGTGTGTGTGTGCATGGGGGAGTGTGTGCAGGATGCGTGTGTTGCATCTCCAGGTATCCTCTGGGTCCAGCATTCTTTCTTCTCTGCCATCCTGCCTCTCCTTAGAAGAGAGGCCTTCTCAAGTAAGGATACAACACTCCACAGCCACAATCCTTCAGGGTTTACAGCGTTTTCATTGTCACAGCCTGTGTTCAATAGTGTCACCTTCTCCACCAGAATCCAGGACCACCTGGAATCCCTCCTGAGCTGGGCCTGGTTGGGGACCCCTGCATTCTGGGAGGTGCACTAGAGGCAGGGAATCCTAAGCCAGGAGGAACTGCCCTTCTCTGGCAGCATCTTGCACAGTCCCTCTTCCCTTCGTCCCACAGTCTCCACCCAGCCTGATCTTGGTTGAGACCCTTAAGACTTGGTGTTCACACTGTGGCCATCACTCATTGCTGTTCGGGACTCCCTCTTTTTCAGTGGAACCTGTGGAGCCCACGGACGCCAGCCTGGTGGCCCTCTCAGGAGAAGGTGAGCTCAGAGGGATAGACGTGCCACCCAAATGCCCACATTTTGATTGTAGCATTGGTCTCCTTGCTGGAATTACTTCCCCTCAAATGCCCCCTGCCTTGGCCTGCAATGGATCAGCTTCAAGTCCATTCAAAAACAAATCCCAGTGCCTCCTGACTATAAATCTCTACTTGCTCAGCTTTCTCCCAGGCTCCTTGCAACCTCAGTAGGGTTGTCAGGTAAAATGCAGAACTCTCACCCTTCACCATCTGAAGTTGAACTTCGGATGAACAGCAAATAACTTTTGAGCATAAGTGTGTCCCATGCAAATTCTGGGACATACTTATACTGAAAAAGTGTTTGTTACTCATCTGAAATCCAAATTCAGCTGGGCATCCTGAATTTTTATGTTAGATCTGGCAACCCTACACTCAGAGAGATCACCACACACAACCATCTCCCTAAGAGTTTGTTTATCTCTCTCCTCTGCTGCTGCTGCTGCTGCTACAGGAAGGATAGAAGCAGAGACTTGTGGTGTGGTCTCCTCCCCCAGCCATTCCACGTCCAAGGGCATCTCATCCTACACGGCTCCCAGACAGCCCGTGCCTTGGGGGCCCCAGGCCTAGAGAAGAGAGGAAATGGCAGCCAGTTCACAGAAAGCTTCACCATCTGCCCAGCCCAGGCACTAACCACACCCAGTGACTTCCATTCTAAAGGAAACGCTGCAGATTTCGAGGCCCCATCCCACAATCCCAAAATAATCCCCAACCCGTACATTTTCCATTGTCTTCAGCCCAAACCACCATCACCTTGTGGAGTGAACCTGGGAAACATGCAATGGAAACAAGGTTCCTCAAGGAGTCTAGAGTTTAACTGGAGAAAACGGATACACACACCTTCGCCCCCGCAACTCACGCGCACTCGTACCCATGACCTGGACAGTGCGCACCAGTGCCGTCCAGGGGAGGCCTGTCAGGACTCAACCACACAGGTGCAGGCGCAGCTCAGGAGGAAAAGCTGTAGGGCTTGTAAGTGTTGTCACCATCATGTGATGAAGCATTTATGTGTTGGAGTTGAGCAGATTTGGGATAGAATCCTGCCTCTCCCATTTTCATCTGTGACTTTGGGAGAATGGTTTAACCTCTCCAAGCTCCAATGTCTTTATTAGCATAAAGCAGGGGTCAAAAAACTTTCTGTAAAGAGCAAGATAGTAAATGTTTTAGACATAGGATCTCTGCCACAGCTGCTCAACTCTGCCATTGCAGGGGAAAGCAGCCATGGACAATAGGTCACCTCGTGGTTGAGGTGACGTATTGTCCATGGCTGCGGCTCTGTGCCAATAAAACTTTATTTACAAAAATAGGCCGAGGGCCAGACCCCAGTTTACCAACCTCTGGAAAGGGATGATTATATCTGCCTTTCAGGGTGGCAGAGGATTCAATGAGAGAGAGTGTGGAAAGATTCTGGGCCAGCATCTTCTTCCAGAAATTCTAGAGGGACTGTACAAAACAGCACATACCATTGAATCACATGCAGGACACTAGACAACTAGCTTAAAATAAATAACCTCATTTAATGCTCACATAACCTCATGAAGTAATTGCTGTAACCTTCATACTGAGATGGTATGTTGAGATGGAGAAAGAAGTTGCCCAAGCTGAGCGGTAAGGCTGGGATTGAGGCCTCTGATGTGTCCTTCCTTACTTCTAGAATGAACTCCCACTTAAGCTGCCTTCCCACAAGGACCTGATCCAATCAGGGTCAATACTGGCTCTTTCTGCTTTTTGCTGGTGTCTTTGCCTGAACACAGGACTGACACTAATCTGGCCCCTCGTCCACTGAATCGTAACTGACTTGAGCACCAATGTGCAGACACACCCACTGCACGATCAGATTGCCACGACCCTTCACTCAGTAGCCTCAGCTCCCAAACCCATTTTATTTACAGGTGATCTGGCCCAGCTAAGGTGCTGAGCTGGACTGATAATTGATCATTGATTGATAATTGGGTGATTTTTCTTCACAGTGTCTGCTGATACCAGAGCTGACCAGCTGACCACTCTCTCCAGGACAAGTCAACTGACCACTCTCTCCAAGACAAGTAAGCAGAGGGGCCTTCAGAGGCCAGCATGGAGTCCAGTAGAGAAATTCCATCTATGTAAATATTTGCGTTCAGTTCGGTGACCACTTTTTGATGGGGCCCAGAGGAAATATTATTATAACATTTTGCAGATAGTGTAGGAAACTGAGGCTCTGGGGGGGTGGGTGGTTTAAAAGTTCCAAATTACTCAGCAAGTGATCAGTTGGACTGGTCGCTAACCCCAGGTTTGAGGCTGTAAGGCCTTTCTTTCTATTATATGACAGTGACTGACGTAGAGCAACCCTTACCTAAAAATACCTAAGCCAAGAAGTCATAGGAAGAATTAGCCTAACCATTTACTTTGCTTGTGGTGATTAATGACCATGGATGCTTTATTAATAAGTATAAATCACTGATAATGACTGTTATTTACTCATTACTAAGAAAGGTTAAAGGGCGGTGACATTGTTGAGGACCTCGATGGGCTAGCAGGTTTCTAAACCCCTTCCTGATTCTCCCCTGGTGATGGGAGACCACTATCGCCCCCACTTTACTGGTGAAGGAGAAGCTCCAAGAGGTAGAGTCACTTGCCTGGGGTAGTTCAGTGTAGGTTCCTTTACTTCTGAATCTATACATTTCTGTCTTTGAAGAGAACCATCTGCCCCACCGTAGAACTATTAAGAGTCTCTTTGCTGGAGCATTTGTGTCTCCAAGACTGACTGTCTAAGCCTAATGTTCACATCAAACCACCATGATCTTGATCTCTGACACAGAATTTCAGGCAGTTCCTTCCTTTCTGAAGCATTTTGGAGTGACGATCTCTGGCTCTTTGTGGTTCAGCCAGCAGTGAAATCGTAGCCTAGCACAGTGGTTCAAGGGTCAACTTTAGCAGGTGACCTGGGTTTGCATTCTGCCACTTTCTAGCCCTGTGAACTTAAAGGGGGGACCTCACTTTTCTGTGTGTCACCTTTCTCATCACTGAATGAGGGTGGGCATTGTAGTAACTCATGGAGTTGTTACGAAGTTAATCTGAGCAAAGCACTTGGTGCTGTACCTGGCATGTGGTAAGCCTTAGTCTGTTCAGGCTGCTGTAACGAAGTGCCACAGACTGAGTGGTGTATAAACAGCAGAAATTGGTTTCTCATAGTGGTGGAGGCTGGAAGTCTGAGATCGAGGCACTGGCAGATCCTGTGTCTGGTGAGGGCCTCTTCCTGACTCATAGACAGCCAGCTGTCTTCCTGCTGTGTCCTCACATGGTGGAAGGGACCAGGGAGCTCTTTATAGGGCACTCATCCCATCCATGAGGGCTCCACCCTCATGACCTAGTCCCCTCCCAAAGGCCCCACCTCCTAACACCACCCCATTGGGGGCTAAGATTCCAACATGTGAACCTGGGAAGACGCAAACACTTGGTCTGTAGCATAGTACGAGCTTCACTACTGTTAAAAAAGCAACAAACTCATTTCACAGAGAAGCAGAGGCTCAGCAGCCTTCCTGGAGACACATGGCGAGCAAAGGCACTCACAGTTCTTCTGCCACATTCTTCCCTCTTCAAAATAATATGGTTTCAGCAGGTTCACCTGCAGCTGACTTTCCAGCAAGCCTGGGGAAGGGGGTGGTGTCGAGGTCTCTTTTTGACTCAGTGGTAACTGCCCAACACCAGGTCTCCTGGGAAGCCAGCAGGGGCCAAGCAAAGACCACATGGCCTCCCTGTGCCCAGCGGATGGAGCTGCCTCGAGAACAAGGTGTGGCAGGCTGGGGTTGACACTCACCCTGTCTCTCTTTCTTGGGAGCAGAACTGCAAGACCAGGAAGGCACAGAAACCGTGAGGACCACAACCCCTCCCGGTGAGCACCCTTGGCTTCTCCTGCCTTTGACTATGTCGTTGCCCCCTATACATTTATTAACTCGGGCGTGTTACAAAGAAGCCTGGGAGAAGAGACACCAGACTCAAAATGGAAGAAATCAGGAAGCCAGTTTACTTTTAGAGCCCCCGAAAAGTAGACAAATTAAATTAAATGTTGATCCATTCACAGAAAGAAATGGATGATTTTTTGAAAAATATAGAAAGCTCTATTTTGTTTTCTGTTTACATCACCTGCAATTTCACCTTATAAAGGTAGCCACTTTTAATACTTGAAGATGCTTTCTTCCAGTCTCCCCATGCATATCTACGACGACACCCAAGAGCCACCCAGCCCTCAGAACGGAGCTGGGGCAGCAGGTGGGTGGGGCCCAGCCACCGGACCAGCCTGGGCTGGAGGTGCAGCCTGTGGGCTGCGGACGGGGCTGCCTCCAGCTCAGACGGCAGGTGGGGCTGACTGACAGTGAGAGCACAGGGGAGCCTGTGTGAGGGAGCAGGGCCAGGCCACGCAGCCTTGCTGGCCACGGTGGGAACCCCCCGCTTAATTCTGAGCATGAGGAGAAGCTGCTGTGGTGTTTTGAGGGGTTTGAACCGTTTGCTTGCCTACAGGATTGTGGGCCACGCATCAGTTTAATTTCCCGTCATTCTTGTCTCTTCACTTGTTAACGCTGCGATGGGGCCTCACTTGGCAGGCACATGAGAGTGACCAGGATGCAAAGGCAGGCCTGAGTGGTGACAGTTCTCACCCACGGGACGTCATCCGAGCGTCTAGCCAGGCTCCTGACAGTTTCAAGGTTATCATAGAAAACTGGGGATCCACGTGCCATTCCTGGATCCCTGAGACTCCCTCCGCTCTGACGTCTGCAATCCCAGTCTGGGGACACTGTCCTGCTCTGAAATGCCTGCCTGCCTTTGGCTTTGACCTTGTATTGCCTGCACTCTCTCCTCAGATCCCTTTTTGAGTATGGACTGAAAAGTTGTGCATTTTCAGGATCTGCAGAGATTGCTGCCACAGCTGGAGGTGTTCCTGGCATGAAATCTTTGGGGTTGGCTGTGTCACCTGTCAAAAGTGGTCCCGAGGAGACGACTGGAAAAGGTGAGCAGAAGCAGGCAGCCAGGTGTCTGTCTCCTCCCGGCCTTGAGATCCTTTGGTTAGGTGGTTAAAAAGCCACTGTATCCCACTGAGACCTTGTCATGTAGCTGCGACGGGAAGGTGCTGTCCCCTTGCAGATGAGAGACTCACAGAGGATGGACTGTCCTGCAGGCACCCAGCGCTGGGGGGCAGGGAGGGGAAGCCCCTGGCCCAGGCTCTTGCCGCTCCCACTGGCCAGAAGGAAAGGCCTGGCATCGCCACACCCTGGTTTCTTGGAAAGAATGAAACTCGTGGGTCTTATAATCCTCTCCTTGGCTCTCCTCCTTTGGGTGCCTGACCAAAGCCCTGCACCTGCAGGGAGCCACAGGCAGGGGACTCGGAGGGGGATGCTGGTGCTACCGGGCAGCCGCCCACAACGCGGGAAGCAGAGCTGCGCACGCAGCCGCATGAGAGGGAGGCGGGCGGGGGCTCCCGGGAACCCTGGCCTCCTGGTGCTCACCAAACCTACGAAGGTGGGGTCTGC